AACAGGCGATGGATGTGAGAAACATTATTGTTATCAATAGGAGCTATTCACATAAACACGAGGAGCTGCAGGGTGTTAACAGAACGACCTTCAGGCTGTATTTGGGTGGTCTGACCTGCATGTTTAAAAAAAAATGTCTCTCAGAAACTACATGCATCTAAAACACGTTAATGCACCAAGTGCCAACACCTACATTCTGTTATTAATGAGCCCCCTTGACCACCCCTCCCCATCTCACTCTCCTAAACATCTTTATCTCCCCCCCAACCCATCTCCCTATTTCATCCTCTTCACCATCCATATCTCCAACCCATCTCCCTATCTCACCCTCACCGACTTTATCCCCCCCAACCCATCTCCCTGTTTCATCCTCTTCACCATCTTTATCCCCCCCCCCAACCAATCTCCCTATTTCACCCTCACCGACTTTATCTCCCCCCAACCCATCTCCCTATCTCATTTTCCTCACCATCTTTATCTTCCCCCATCCCATCTCCCTATCTCATCTTCCTCACCATTTGTATCCCCCCCCCCCCCCCCCCAACCCATCTCCCTATCTCATCTTGATCTTCCCCCAACCTATCTCATCTTCCTCACCATCTTTATCTCCCCCATCCCATCCCATCTCCCTTTCTCATCTTCCTCACCAACTTTATCCCCCCCAACCCATCTCCCTATATAATTTTCTTCACCATCTTTATCTCCCCCATCCCATCTCCCTATCTCATCTTCCTCACCATCTTCATCTCCCCCAACCCATCTCCCTATATCATCTTCCTCACCATCTTTATCTCCCCCATCCCATCTCCCTATCTCATCTTCCTCACCATCTTCATCTCCCCCCAACCCATCTCCCTATCTCATCTTCCTCACTATCTTCATCTACCCCCAACCCATCTCCTTATCTCATTTTCCTCACCATCTTTATCTCCCCCATCCCATCCCTATCTCATCTTCCTCACCATCTTCATCTTCCCCATCCCATCTCCCTATCTCATCTTCCTCACCATCTTAATCTCCCCCCAACCCATCTCCCTATCTCATATACCTCACCATCTTTATCTCCCCCATCCCATCCCTATCTCATCTTCCTCACCATCTTTATCTCCCCCCATCCCATCTCCCTATCTCATCTTCCTCACCATTTTTATCCCCCCCAACCCATCTCCCTATCTCATCTTCCTCACCATCTTCGTCTCCCCCATCCCATCTCCCTATCTCATCTTCCTCACCATCACCTCCCTTACCCTAGGGCCAGGCTGACGGGTAGGCCAAATAAAGGAGGCTGCAATTTTTGCTTTAGTAGGAGGAGGGCACAGAAAAGGTCAGGAGCAACCAGCTATGCTGCTGAAGTAGTTCACAGCTCATGGGGGGGGGGGGGGCTTTGGCCATTTCCCCTTGGGTGTTACAGGACCGCCCCCCCATCTCCTCAGCTTTATCCCCCCTCCCCCATCTATCTTTCCCTCGTTCTGTATATATCAGGACACATGCTCATTTCCCCATTGCTGAGGTCAGTCACACGCTTCCCAATCACATTATCACGCTCGGTTGGCCAGTACCGGGGTGCCAGCTGCCCTCCTGCACCAAGTGCCAGCCCTGCCAGTACACAATGGATTTATGGGAAGAACAGCCTGGAGGATTTCGCTGTGACACAGAAGTTGCTGATCTTCTACTGTGAATGATCGTGTTTTTTCTCCTCTCTCTCCAAAACTTCGGATCTGCAGAAAAATAAATTATTAGAGATGTTTGTAGAGAATTAGACAATTCGGATCAATTTCTATCAATATAAAAGATATCTGTAATGGGAATCACAGCTTCCTCATCGTGAGATCCGGTGATCTGTGTTACATATTTGTGAGATTTGAGGTTATTGTTTTTACACTTCGGAAGTGAAAAGATTCTTTGTATTGGTTTGAGTCTCGTCATAAGTTTAGGCTATATATATATGTACAGCAAAAACGGAGCCATTTATGTCGGTCTCTACCTAGAAGAGGGGACTGTCCAAGGTCCTGGACTATCCCAACCTTTTTAAAGGAACCGTTGAAAAAATGTTTAGATCCTGAGGAGCGTCTATAAAACAAATTTATCAAAAGCCGGCAGATAGAATGCTCCTTACATTGGTGGTCAGTGGGAAGAATGTCCCTTACATTGGGGGTCAGTGGGAAGAATGTCCCTTACATTGGGGGTCAGTGGGAAGAATGTCCCTTACATTGGTGATCAGTGGGAAGAATGTCCCTTACATTGGGGGTCAGTGGGAAGAATGTCCCTTACATTGGGGGTCAGTGGGAAGAATGTCCCTTACATTGGTGGTCAGTGGGAAGAATGTCCCTTACATTGGGGGTCAGTGGGAAGAATGTCCCTTACATTGGGGGTCAGTGGGAAGAATGTCCCTTACATTGGGGGTCAGTGGGGAGAATGTCCCTTACATTGGTGGTCAGTGGGAAGAATGTCCCTTACATTGGGGGTCAGTGGGAAGAATGTCCCTTACATTGGGGGTCAGTGGGAAGAATGTCCCTTACATTGGGGGTCAGTGGGAAGAATGTCCCTTACATTGGGGGTCAGTGGGAAGAATGTCCCTTACATTGGGGGTCAGTGGGAAGAATGCCCCTTACATTGGGGGTCAGTGGGAAGAAAGTCCTTTACATTGGGGGTCAGTGGGAAGAATGTCCCTTACATTGGTGGTCAGTGGGAAGAATGTCCCTTACATTGGTGGTCAGGGGGGAGAATGTCCCTTACATTGGGGGTCAGGGGGGAGAATGTCCCTTACATTGGGGGTCAGTGGGAAGAATGTCCCTTACATTGGTGGTCAGTGGGAAGAATGTCCCTTACATTGGTGGTCAGGGGGGAGAATGTCCCTTACATTGGGGGTCAGGGGGGAGAATGTCCCTTACATTGGGGGTCAGGGGGGAGAATGTCCCTTACATTGGTGATCAGTGGGAAGAATGTCCCTTACATTGGGGGTCAGTGGGAAGAATGTCCCTTAGATTGGGGATCAGTGGGAAGAATGTCCCTTACATTGGGGGTCAGTGGGAAGAATGTCCCTTACATTGGTGATCAGTGGGAAGAATGTCCCTTACATTGGAGGTCGGTGGGAAGAATGTCCCTTACATTGGTGATCAGTGGGAAGAATGTCCCTTACATTGGTGATCAGTGGGAAGAATGTCCCTTACATTGGAGGTCGGTGGGAAGAATGTCCCTTACATTGGGGGTCAGTGGGAAGAATGTCCCTTACATTGGGGGTCAGTGGGAAGAACGTCCCTTACATTGGGGGTCAGTGGGAAGAATGTCCCTTACATTGTGGGTCAGTGGGAAGAATGTCCCTTACATTGGGGGTCAGTGGGAAGAATGTCCCTTACATTGGGGGGTCAGTGGGAAGAATGTCCCTTACATTGGGGGTCAGTGGGAAGAATGTCCCTTACATTGGGGGTCAGTGGGAAGCATGTCCCTTACATTGGGGTCAGTGGGGAGAATGTTCCTTACATTGGTGACACAGATAACAGATAATTGGGGTCATGCTCTGACTCTGCCTAGTGATGGTGTCCCCGGGACTGTGCAGAATTAGATGGAATGTCAGTCAGTCACAGCTCTAGGAACACCTCTGGAGGATCTGGTTGAGAACGGCCGCTCTATACAAAGTAGCCATGACGCCCAGGACCCCGGTGCACCAATATAACAATCATTTGATACAGGATTCCACTGCAACTTCTTGGGCTAACTTTCTGCTTCTTTTGGATGTGGAATACTTTTCTACATGAAGCCGACTGGGATCATGGTGCTGGAAGAGGTCATGTCGTGTGTGGCCCCTGGAGGTCAGGGCTGGTGGTGTGAAGTTTGGTATCCTCCATGCTTCTCATCGGCGCCGTCCTCGGAATGAGCCCCAGGGACGCGGAAGGCTAAAGGGTTAAATGGAAGTGATTTTCAGCAGCTTTAACTCTCAGCAGATTGCTTTCTCTGGCAGATCTGAGCGGGGGTAACTGGCCGTCACATCCCAGCCGCTCGCATCAGTAATTAAATGACATGGTTAGGCGCACACAGACTCCTGATGCCAGCACCCTACAGACCTGAGCAAAATCATTCCCGACATCCCGCCATTTGTGGACGACTCGTAACAGTTGTTGGTAGTCAGCTTTCCGCTCACATGAGCACCGAAGGGGGCAGGAGGGGGAAAATGGGGGTCATTCACTAAAGTCTCCGCTAACTCCAATCCTTCATGGTGGGAATCTCACCCATGTCCACTATAGGGGATCTGCTGGGAATCTCCAGTCCCTATCAAGGGTCCATACGGAACTTTCTTTTTTATCTTCTTTCTAAAGGTCAACTTTGTTGTAGGAGACCATCATTTCCAATCATTTTCCAATATTTTTAACTCTGTTCCCCTTTGTTACCAAATTCCTAATTTAAAGTGATATTAACCACTTCAAGTCCGGACACTGTCACCCCCTTCCTGCCCAGGCCAATTTTCAGCTTTCACCTTGAATGACAATTGCGCGGTCATGCAATGTTGTACCCAAATGCAACTTTTCTCATTGTTTTCACACACAGCTCTTTCTTGTGGTGGTGTTTGATCACCGCTGGAGTTTTTTAATTTTTGCTGTATAAATAAAAAATACAAAAAAAAAAAAAAAAAAAAATGTTTTTGTTGTAAAGTTTTGCAAATAAATAATTTTTCTTCACAAATTTAGACCAAAATGTATTCTGCTACATTTTTTGGGTAAAAATAACCCAAGTTACTGTATATTATGTATTCTGTGTGAAAGTTATAGAGTCTACAAACTATCGGATATATACCTGAAAATTGACTAATTGAGACCATAAAATGACAGATGCGGGTATGATGGTGATCTGGACACTATTGTGATACAGTATATGGGGTGATCAGGACGATGGTATGGGGTATGGGGGTGATCAGGACGCTGGTATGGGGTATGGGGGTGATCAGGACGCTGGTATGGGGTGATCAGGATGCTGGTATGGGGTATGGAGGTGATCAGGACGCTGGTATGGGGTATGGAGGTGATCAGGACGCTGGTATGGGGTATGGAGGTGATCAGGACGCTGGTATGGGGTATGGTGGTGATCAGGACGCTGGTATGGGGTATGGAGGTGATCAGGACGATGGTATGGGGTATGGGGGTGATCAGGACGCTGGTATGGGGTATGGGGGTGATCAGGACGCTGGTATGGGGGTGATCAGGATGCTGGTATGGGGCATGGCGGTCATCAGGATGCTGGTATGGGGTATTGTGGTGATCAGGATGCTGGTATGGGGTATGGAGGTGATCAGGACTCTGGTATGGGGTATGGAGGTGATCAGGACGCTGGTATGGGGTATGGAGGTGATCAGGACGCTGGTATGGGGTATGGTGGTGATCAGGACGCTGGTATGGTGGTGATCAGGATGCTGGTATGGTGTATGGAGGTGATCAGGATGCTGGTATGGGGTATGGAGGTGACAGGACGCTGGTATGGTGTATGGAGGTGATCAGGACACTGGTATGGGGTATGGAGGTGATCAGGACGCTGGTATGGGGTATGGAGGTGATCAGGACGCTGGTATGGGGTATGGTGGTGATCAGGATGCTGGTATGGGGTATGGGGGTGATCAGGACGCTGGTATGGGGTATGGTGGTGATCAGGACTCTGGTATGGGGTATGGTGGTGATCAGGACACTGGTATGGGGTATGGAGGTGATCAGGACGCTGGTATGGGGTATAGCGGTGATCAGGACGCTGGTATGCGGTATGGTGGTGATCAGGACTCTGGTATGGGGTATGGTGGTGATCAGGATGCTGGTATGGGGTATGGCGGTGATCAGGACGCTGGTATGGGGTATGGCGGTGATCAGGACTCTGGTATGGGGTATGGCGGTGATCAGGACACTGGTATGGGGTATGGCGGTGATCAGGACACTGGTATGGGGTATGGAGGTGATCAGGACGCTGGTATGGGTATAGCGGTGATCAGGACGCTGGTATGGGGTATGGAGGTGATCAGGATGCTGGTATGGGGTATGGGGGTGATCAGGACGCTGGTATGGGGTATGGAGGTGATCAGGACGCTGGTATGGGGCATGGCGGTGATCAGGACGCTGGTATGGGGTATGGAGGTGATCAGGACGCTGGTATGGGGCATGGCGGTGATCAGGACGCTGGTATGGGGTATGGAGGTGATCAGGACGCTGGTATGGGGTATGGGGGTGATCAGGACGCTGGTATGGGGTATAGCGGTGATCAGGACGCTGGTATGGGGTATGGAGGTGATCAGGACGCTGGTATGGGGCATGGCGGTGATCAGGGTGCTGGTATGGGGTATGGAGGTGATCAGGACGCTGGTATGGGGTATATGGGGGTGATCAGGACGCTGGTATGGGGTATGGCGGTGATCAGAAGGCTGGTATGGGATATGGAGGTGATCAGAAGGCTGGTATGGGGTATGGCGGTGATCAGGGTGCTGGTATGAGGTTTGTGATTTCTGTGATTGGACACAGCAATCACATGGTACAATACCATGTGACCATCCAGACACAGCGTTAATGTGATTCTGATCACCAGTCCCCCAGGAGTGCACTCTGTGTACCTGCACAGGAGCCAATGGCTCCTGCTGCTGTATCAGCCAATGAGGTGGAAGAGTCCCTGGAGAGCCGCTGCTCTCCTGCACATCACTGGATGATGAGGGGGTTCAGGTAAGTATTGGGGGGCTGCACACGGAAGGCTTTTTCACCTTCATCCATAGAATCCACCTTCAGCCTTTACAAACAGAATGTTTTGGGATTACTGTGGTAAGATGTTACCAGGACGCATGTTCCGTGTGCGTCCCGCACTGGAGATGAGTTTTCTGGGAATTCGTTCCGACTTTTGTAGAGGGATATAATGAGGGTCGCTTTTTAATAGTGTTAGCTCTCTGAAGAGCGATCTGCAGAGGATCGCTCTTCAGGGGGCATTTGGCAGGCTGTTTCAATCCCCATGGGCATATGCATACAGTTGCAAGAAAAAGTATGTGAACCCCTTGAGATTCCGTGGAGTTTTGCATGAATTGGGCATAAAATGTGCTCTGAACTTCATCTAAGTCACAACAATAGAAGAACACAGTCTGCTGAACATAATACTACACAAACATTAGATGTTGCCATGGTTTAATTGCACATAACATGTAAACATTCACAGTGCAGGGAGGAAAAAGTATGTGAGGCCCTAGCTTAATGACTTCTCCCAGAGCTAATTGGAGCCAGGAGTGAGCCAACCTTGACTCCAATCAGTGTGATGATATTGGATGTGTTGCTGACACCTGTTTTGGGTTTACTGGTTTCAAGAAGCACTGTCTGATGTGAACCACGCCTCGCAGAAAAGAGCTCTCAGAAGACCTACCATCAAGAATTGTTGACTTGCATGAAGCTGAAAAGGGTTACAAAAGTGTCTCCAAAAGCCTTGATGTTCATGTGTCCACGGTAAGACTGGACTGTCTACAAATGGAGAAAGTTTAGCACTGTTGCTACTCTCCCTAGGCGTGGTCGTCCTGTAAAAATGACTGCAAGAGCACAGCGCAGAATGCTGCATGAGGTAAAGAAGAATCCCAGAGTGTCAGCTAAAGACCTACAGAAATCTCTGGCACATGCTAACATTTTTGTTGACACATCTACAATAAGGAAAACATTAAACAAGAATGGAGTACATGGGAGGACACCACGGAGGAAGCCATTGCTGGCCAAAAAGAAGATGGCAGCACGTTTGAAGTTTGCAAAAGAGCACCTGGATGTTCCACAGCACTACTGGCAGAATATACTGTGGACAGATGACACCAAGATTGAGTTGTTTGGGAAGAACACACAACACTATGTGTGGAGAAAAAAAGGCCCAGCACACCAACATCAAAACCTCATCCCCACTGTGAAACATGGCGGAGGGAGCCTCATGGTTTGGGGCTGCTTTGCTGCCTCAGGGCTGGACGGATTGTTGTCATTTGATGGGAAAATGAATGCCAGAGTTTATCAAGACATTTTGCAGGAAAACGTACGACCATCTGTCCGCCAACTGAAGCTCCGCAGAGGATGGATGATGCAACAGGACAATGACCCAAAGCATACAAGTAGTTCAACAAAACAATGGCTGCAACAGCACAGAATACGCCTTCTGGAGTGGCCCAGTCAGAGTCCTGACCTCAACCCCATTGAAATGCTGTGGCATGACCTTAAGAGAGCGATTCACACCAGACATCCCAAGAATATTGCTACACTGAAACAGTTTTGTGAAGAGGAGTGGTCCAAAATGACTCCAGATCGTTGTGCAGGTCTGATCTGCAACTACAGGAAACGTTTGGTTGAGGTTATTGCTGCCAAAGGAGGGTCAACCAGTTATTAAGTCCAAAGGTTCACATACTTTTTCCTCCCTGCACTGTGAATGTTTACATGTTATGTGCAATTAAACCATGGCAACATCTAATGTTTGTGTAGTATTATGTTCAGCAGACTGTGTTCTTCTATTGTTGTGACTTAGATGACGTTCAGAGCACATTTTATGCCCAATTCATGCAAAACTCCACTTAATCCCAAGGGGTTCACATACTTTTTCTTGCAACTGTATGTTCTACATGAACATAAGAGCTGGAAGATCCTGCGTGAAATACAAAACGAACGTATTGGCATTTATGTGCGTCGAAACAAGCCTGTGGGCGTACAATCTGCACATCGACACGCGTGAAATCTGCAGCTGCGTCCTGACTCTTTTTTTTTTTTTTTAAACCAAATGTGGTCCACATTTTCGTGTGAAGATGCAGCTGTGTGTACGGGCTGCGTGTACGGGCTGCGTGTACGGGCTGTGTGTACGGGCTGTGTGTACGGGCTGCGTGTACGGGCTGCATGTACGGGCTGCGTGTATGGGCTGCGTGTACGGGCTGCGTGTATGGGCTGCGTGTACGGGCTGCGTGTACGGGCTTCGTGTACGGGCTGCGTGTACGGGCTGCGTGTACGGGCTGCGTGTACGGGCTTCGTGTACGGGCTGCGTGTACGGGCTGCGTGTACGGGCTGCGTGTACGGGCTGCGTGTATAGGCTGCGTGTACGGGCTGCATGTATGGGCTGCGTGTACGGGCTGCGTGTATGGGCTGCGTGTATGGGCTCTGTGTACGGGCTGCGTGTACGGGCTGCGTGTATGGGCTGCGTGTACGGGCTGCATGTACGGGCTGCGTGTATGGGCTGCGTGTATGGGCTGCATGTATGGGCTGCATGTATAGGCTGCGTGTACGGGCTGCGTGTATGGGATGTGTGTGTACGGGCTGTGTGTACGGGCTGCGTGTACGGGCTGCGTGTATGGGATGTGTGCATGGGTTGCGTGTACAGGCTGTGTGTACGGGTTGTGTGCATGGGTTGCGTGTACGGGTTGCGTGTACAGGCTGCGTGTACGGGTTGCGTGTATGGGCACAAGACAACACAGCTAAACGCAGTATTTTTTTTTCTTTTCTGCCTGTGTGAACACTGCAGCCCGATGCCACAATCACATGACTTGCAGTCGCAGTGGGGCCTCTTCCAGGTCAATGGGTTGCATATGGAGGGCAGTGCTGCCCCCTGGGTGTGACCCCATCTCACTGCCTTTGCATCTTATTGGGAACAGTTTTGGGGGCAGTAAACACATGGCTCAACTGTGTGTCTTTACTGACCACCCCCCCCCCCACCCCCGTCTTTAGGGCCGGTTCACACCACACCTGGACATGAATCGCACGCGCAGGAACGGACGATTTTAATGGAATCATCGCACTAGATTCATTTTGCACCATTTTGTTTTTAAAGACACGACTTAGACGTCAATTAATTTTACATTTTCCAAACTGATCCAGGAGCCTGAAAAGCTGAATTTCGCAGCACAGACAGTTCTTCCTGCAGGCGTTCCATCCAGCCGGCTGTGTGTGATGGAGGGGGGACATGGGGACGCACACCGCCATTTGGCTGGAGATTGTGTTTAGTGTTCTGCTGTCCCTGGCAGTACCGGAGCCCAGATGGCATCGCTGACGGCTCCGTCATTCTACATGAACAAGACATCAATGGAAGCGGAGCGCCCCCTCTGTCCACTCACTGTCATCATACAAGAAGTACAGCCGGGATGATACAAAATGATACAAAGAAACAATATAGACAAAGTATACAAAATATAAATATATACACAGCTCCAACCAATGACAGGAAGACTCTGAGAACCCATCAGATCCCAATGGGGAGGAATCTCCTGCTGGATCTCTATACTGACATGGACGGGGGATGGGTGAGGAACGTAAGGACGCCCCATCGTTGGATGGAAATGATGGACCTACAGAGGACTGAATTCACAGACACCCCGAAAATCAAAGTGAAGAAATGATGCAGCAGGTGAGTCCATGTTGGTGAAATGTCATTGCAGCAACTCAGAATGGCCCTCAGTAGTCTGTGTGGCCCCCACGTGCTTGTATGCATGCCTGACAACGTCGGGGGAGGGTCCTAATGAGACCACGGATGGTGTCCTGGGGGATTTCCTCCCAGATCTGGACCAGGACATCACTGAGCTCCTGGACAGTCTGAGGGGCAACCTGGTGGCATCGGATGGACCGAAACATGACATCCCAGAGGGGTTCTATTGGATTTAGGTCAGGTGAGCGTGGGGGCCATTCAATGGTATCAATTCCTTCATCCTCCAGGAACTGCCTGCATACACATGAGGCCGGGCATTGTCTGCTCCAGGAGGAACCCAGGACCCACCGCACCAGGAGGATATCAGGACCCACCGCACCAGGAGGAACCCAGGACCCCCTACACCAGGAGGAACCCAGGACCCAACGCACCAGGAGGAACCCAGGACCCCCTACACCAGGAGGAACCCAGGACCCACCGCTCCAGGAGGAACCCAGGACCCAGTGCACCAGGAGGAACCCAGGACCCCTGCACCAGGAGGAACCCAGGACCCCCTGCAACCAGGAGGAACCCAGAACCCCCTGCAACCAAGAGGAACCCAGAACCCCCTGCACCAGGAGAAACCCAGGACCCACCGCACCAGGAGAAACCCAGGACCCACCGCACCAGGAGGAACCCAGGAACCCACCGCACCAGGAGGAACCCAGGACCCACTGCACCAGGAGGGACCCAGGACCCCCTGCACCAGCGTAGGGTCTGACAATGGGTCCAAGGATTTCATCCTGATTCCTAATGGCAGTCAGGGTGCCATTGTCTAGCCTGTAGAGGTCTGTGCGTCCCTCCATGGAGATGCCTCCCCAGACCATCACTGACCCACCACCAACACTATCATGCTGAACCAGTGGTGCCAGTGGTGGACCTGCCAATTCTGGGGTTCAATGGCCAATGCCAATCCAGCTCTATGGTGCCGGGCAGTGAGCACAGGGCCCACTAGAGGATGTTGGGCCCTCAGGCCACCCTCATGAAGTCTGTTTCTGATTGGTTGGTCAGAGACATTCACACCAGTGGCCTGCTGGAGGTCATTTTGTAGGGCTCTGGCAGGGCTCCTCCTGTTCCTCCTTGTACAAAGGAGCAGATACCGGTCCTGCTGATGGGTTAAGGACCTTCTACGGCCATTTCCAGCTCTCCTAGAACTGCCTGTCTCCTGGAATCTCCTCCATGCTCTTGAGACTGTGCTGGGAGACACAGCAAACCTTCTGGCAATGGCAGGTATTGATGTGCCATCCTGGAGGAGTCGGACTGCCTGTGCAACCTCTGTAGGGTCCAGGTATGGCCTCATGCTACCATTAGTGACGCTGACCCGAGCCAAATGCAAAATGAGTGAAAAGATGATGAGTAGGGAAAAAAGGTCAGTGGCCTCCACCTGTAAAACAATTCCTGTTTTGGGGGTTGTCTCATTGTTGCCCATTTAGTGCACCTGTTGTTAATTTCATTACCACCAAAGCAGCTGAAAATGATGAACAATCCCCTCTGCTACTTACCTGACCAGATCCATATCCCGGAGTTTCATGGACTTGATGCTAGACTTGGAAGTTTCCTTTCATTTTTTTGAGCAATGTATATACACTACATTGCCCCAAGTATTGGGTTGCTGGCCTTTCCACACAGATGACCTGTAATGGCCCCCCCCAGTCTTAGTCCGTAGGGTTCAGTATTGAGTTGGTCCCGCCCTTTCCACACACATGACCTTTAATGGCCCCCCAGTCTTAGTCCATAGGGTTCACTATTGAGTTGGCCCCGCCCTTCCCACACACATGACCTTTAATGGCCCCCCAGTCTTAGTCCGTAGGGTTCAATATTGAGTTGGCCCCACCCTTTCCACACACATGACCTTTAATGGCCCCCCAGTCTTAGTCCGTAGGGTCCAATATTGAGTTGGCCCCGCCCTTTGCAGCTATAACAGCTTCAACTCTTCTGGGAAGGCCGTCCACAAGGTTTAGGAGGGTGTCTATGGGAAGGTTGGACCATTCTTCCAGAAGCACATTTGTCAGGTCAGGCACTGATGTCAGGGGAGGAGGCCTGGCTCGCAGTCTCCGCTCTAATTCATCCCAAAGGTGTTCTATGGGGTTGAGGTCAGGACTCTGTGCAGGACAGTCAAGTTCCTCCACCCCAAACTGGCTCCTCCATGTCTTTATGGACCTTGCTTTGTGCACTGGGGGGCAGTCATGTTGGACAGGAAGGGGCCATCCCCAAACTCCTCCCACAAAGTTGGGAGCATGAAATTGTCCAAAATATCACCATAAGAGTTCCCTTCACTGGAACTAGGGGGCCAAGCCCAACCCCTGAAAAACACCCCCACACCATAATCCCCCCTCCACCAAACTTTACACTTGGCACAATGCAGTCAGGCAAGTACCGTTCTCCTGGCAACTGCCAAACCCAGACACGTCCATCAGATTGCCAGACAGAGAAGCGTGATTGGTCACTCCAGAGAACACGCCTTCACTGCTCTAAAGTCCAGTGGCGACGTGCTTTACACCACGGCATCTGACGCTTTGCATTGCACTTGGTGATGGAAGGCTTGGATGCAGCTGCTCGGCCATGGAAACCCATTCCATGAAGCTCTCTACACACTGTTGTTGGGCTCATCTGAAGGCCACACCAACTTTGGAGGTCTTTAGCTATTGACTCTGCAGACAGTTGGCGACTTCTGCGCACTGTGCGCTTCAGCATGCGCTGACCCCGCCCTGTCATGTGACGTGGCCTACCACTTGGTGGCTGAGTGGCTGTTGTTCCTAGTGGCTTCCACTTGGTTATAATCCCACTAACAGCTGAGCGTGGAATATTTAGTAGCCAGGAAATGTCACGGATGGACTTATTGCCCAGGTGGCCACCTATCACGGGACCACGCTTGGAGTCACTGAGCTCCTGAGAGCGACCCATTCTTTCACCAATGTTTGTAGAAGCCGTCTGCATGCCTAGGGGATGGATTGTATACCAGAAAATGTATATTATATAGGGCGCGCTTGTTGGAGTCCAACCTCTGTAGCTGTAAGATAAAGGTGCCAGATGGATATCAGGGATGGATGAATATGAGGGATGGATGGATGGGAGCAGTAACACTGAGGCAGCGCTTCTTAGAGTAGAAGCAAGGCTCTAAGGCAGTAACAAGAACAAGAGAGGAGGGCGCCTCTAAGTGCCGTATGGACAATGTATTTAGTAAACAATGGATAAATTGCACTTACAAGATAAACGGTTAAAAAGACTCAACATGTGGTGATTGGATCAGGTGGGGTATAGATCCAGGTGGGGTATAGATCCAGGTGGGGTATAGATCCAGGTGGGGTATAGATCCAGGTGGGACTTCCAGCCGTCCAGGAGCAAACTCTGTCTATAGGATCAGGAAGTAGAGTCCAGGATGTGCATCAAAAATGAAGCTTGGAGAGCAGAGTCAGATGTAGGAGGTGAAGGGGGCAGTAATGCATTTTGGAGCATGCTCAATAGGCTCCTTCTTCAGACCTGTGGCCATGGAGGAGATTGGAACGCCTGAATCACATGATTGGGAGGGTGGGGGCAATATAGTGTATGTATATTATGTTGAAATATATTGGAGCCAATGGGGAGGGAGAAATTAAGGAGGATTTGGTGATTTTCAAATTTGAAACTCCCTTCAGTCTTGCACGGGTGTACTGGCTCCTCCCCTTCACTCTTACACAGGTGTACCTGCTCCTCCCCTTCAGTCTTGCACAGGTGTACCACTCCTCCCCTTCAGTCTTGCACAGGTGTACCACTCCTCCCCTTCAGTCTTGCACTGGTTTACTGACTCCCCCCCTTCAGTCTTGCGCAGGTGTACCAGCTCCTCCCCTTCAGTCTTGCACAGGTGTACCGGCTCCTCCCCTTCAGTCTTGCACAGGTGTACCACTCCTCCCCTTCAGTCTTGCACAGGTGTACCGGCTCCTCCCCTTCAGTCTTGCACAGGTGTACCTGCTCCTCCCCTTCAGTCTTGCACAGGTGTACCGGCTCCTCCCCTTCAGTCTTGCACAGGTGTACCGGCTCCTCCCCTTCAGTCTTGCACAGGTGTACCGGCTCCTCCCCTTCAGTCTTGCACAGGTGTACCTGCTCCTCCCCTTCAGTCTTGCACAGGTGTACCGGCTCCTCCCCTTCAGTCTTGCACAGGTGTACCGGCTCCTCCCCTTCAGTCTTGCACAGGTGTATCGGCTCCTCCCCTTCAGTCTTGCACAGGTGTACCGGCTCCTCCCCTTCAGTCTTTCACACAGGTGTACCGGCTCCTCCCCTTCAGTCTTGCACAGGTGTACCGGCTCCTCCCCTTCAGTCCTGCACAGGTGTACCAGCTCCTCTCCTGTACTGAAACAGCTTCCTCTGATGTCACAGAATCATTGGAATCTTCTCACAGTGTGCATTAGAAGCTGCAGCGAGTCAGATAGAGCTCCGCCTCATTTCCTGGCTGGAGGATGTCCAGCATCAACTAGACCTTTCCTCCCCAGCCTGCATGTCCCTGGCCCCGCCCCTTTAATTGTTTTTATTACTACAGGTACTTATATAGCGCCATCAATCTACACAGCGCTTTACATATATATATTGTGCGTTCACATCAGACCCCGCCCTCACGGGGCGTACAGGCTGTGTGTATGTAATTATTCGGCTCACTTGGGATATCACCCATCTGTGTTTGCAGCTTTAGCCTGCGTTCACATCAAGCCCGACTCGGAACTCGTGCGACTTACAGTGAACTCGCAGGATTACAAAGTCAGGGGACACACAAATTTCTAGTGCGATTTGCAAGACATCTGACAGAGATATCTATACAAATCGCACCAAAAGTAGCGCATGAACTACTTCAGAAATCGGTGCGACTCCAACCAAGTCGTAAACGCACCAATATGACTGCTGTCATTGCGGACAATAAGGTGCAAGTTTGTATACGATTTGCAAGTCGCCTGGCATGCCGAATCACACCCGATGTGACCGGGGGCTTCATCCTAGTTCACACCGGTGCAGCGTCAGGTGCGACATGCGATTTACAAATCGCACCTGAAGTCGTATCTAATGCATTTCTGGGGCGTGGTCTTAATCAGTGCGATTTGAAATAGCGCAGTTTCAAAAATAGTTCCCGCGCTACTTCTTTCCGATTTCATTGCGACTTGCATTCACTTCTGTTATACGGAGTTGCAAGCTGCAGTGAAATCGGCGGGAGAAATCGCACCGATCTGCAGCCTTGAAGTAGAACGATTTCAAAGTTGCATTCAGTGAGAACCGAGGCTTATGCAGGCCATAGACGGGTCGAAAATTGGCGGAATTTTCAACCGAAAAAAAAAAAAATCGCACACTTAGTGGGTTAATTGGATGCCGTTTTTCGGGGGTTTTGCACATTTATTTATGTTGGAAAATTCGTGGCCGATTTTGACGATCAGAAGATTTTTCCCGGCAATGATGGGCAAAAAAGCCGATCGTTTTACCGATAAAAAATCTGCACATGAGCCGTGACCTGCAAGAAGAAGAAGCAGAAGTCCAGTCCGCTATTATATTTTATATGAAAAGTCTTGCGGTTGCAACAATGTATCCATTTGTATCCGAAAAAAACATCTGTATCCCAAATGGATACATTGTTGCAACCGCAAGACTTTTCATATAAAATATAATAGCAGACTGGAATTCTTCTTCTTCTTCTTTTCCTCTTCTTCTTCTTCTTCCTCCTCCTCCTCTTCCTCTTCCTCCTCTTCTTCCTCTTCCTCCTCCTCTTCTTCTTCCTCCTCCTTTTCTTCCTCTTCCTCCTCTTCTTCTTCTTCCTCCTCCTTCTTCTCTTTTCTCCTCTTTCTCCTCTCCTCCTCTTCCTCCTCTTCTTCCTCTTCCTCCTTTTCTTCTTCCTCTTCTTCCTCTTCCTCCTCTTCTTCCTCCTCCTTTTCTTCTTCTTCCTCCTCTTCTCTTCCTCTTCCTCCTTCTTCTTCTTCTTCCTCCTCCTCTTCTTCTTCTTTTTCTTTCTCCTCTTCCTCCTCTTCCTCTTCTTCCTCTTCCTCCTCTTCCTCCTTTTCTTCTTCCTCTTCTTCCTCTTCTTCCTCTTCCTCCTCTTCTTCCTCTTCTTCCTCTTCCTCCTCTTCCTCCTCTTCCTCCTCTTCTTCTGCTTCCTCTTCCTCCTTCTTCTTCTTCTTCCTCCTCCTTCTTCTTCTTTCTCCTCTTCCTCCTCTTCCTCTTCTTCCTCTTCCTCCTCTTCCTCCTGTTCCTCTTCCTCTTCCTCCTGTTCTTCTTCTTCTTCCTCTTCTTCTTCTTCTTCTTCTCTCCCCTGTGCGCTCCCCTGTCTCTGCAAGGGTTGGAAGTAATTATGGGGTTAAATGCCGGCCGTAGACGGGACGAAAAATTGGCCGATTTTTTTTACCGTTGGTGGTAACGTTGGCTGATCGAACGACCGATTTTTCGTTTTTTGTTTCTTTTTTAAAACGGCCGATTTTCGAACTGTCTATGGCCTGCATTACCCCAGGTTCACACCTATGCGTTTTCCGCAGCGTTTTGCAGAAACGCACAGCAGCCCACTTGTCATGATTTCCAATGAGACCGTTCACATCTCCGCGTTTTTAACGCAAAAAGTTACATTTTTGGTTCCATAAACTTCAATGGAAATGCTGCAGAAAAGTATTTAGTGCGTCTTTGCTGCGTTTTGTGTTTTCTTTATAAAGTTTTTTTTTCTTGTTGCTAGGCAGATTTAAAATGCAAAACGCAGAAAAAATGCCACAAAAAATGCACTATAAACTACGTAATGCTAAACGGATGACCAATGGAGGGCTTTTGAAGCGTCTCCTATAGAGAATTTAGGGGACTGAAGTTTGTCGCCATTTCACGGGCGCAAGCAAATTTAAGGTTTGACACGTTGGGTATCTATTTACTCGGCACAACCTCGTCTTTAAGAAGAAAACTAAACGGGTATTTTGCTGCATTTATGTTCCCGGAAATTAACTTTTGTGGGTTTTTTCCCTGAAATTTTGCATTTTCTATACCTTTGTGGTCATATCACGTGGTATAAAAAAGCAGAGGGCATGATGGGACTTGTAGTTATACAGACAGTAGGGACACCAGAGGGCATGATGGGACTTGTAGTTGTACAGACAGTAGGGACACCAGCGGGGGGCATGATGGGACTTGTAGTTGTACAGACAGTAGGGACACCAGCGGGGGGCATGATGGGACTTGTAGTTGTACAGACAGTAGGGACACCAGCGGGGGGCATGATGGGACTTGTAGTTGTACAGACAGTAGGGACACCAGAGGGCACGATGGGACTTGTAGTTGTACAGACAGTAGGGACACCAGAGGGCATGATGGGACTTGTAGTTGTACAGACAGTAGGGACACCAGAGGGCACGATGGGACTTGTAGTTGTACAGACAGTAGGGACACCAGAGGGCATGATGGGACTTGTAGTTGTACAGACAGTAGGGACACCAGAGGGCATGATGGGACTTGTAGTTGTACAGACAGTAGGGACACCAGTGGGGGGCATGATGGGACTTGTAGTTGTACAGACAGTAGGGACACCAGCAGGCATGATGGGACTTGTAGTTGTACAGACAGTAGGGACACCAGTGGGCATGATGGGACTTGTAATTATACTGTCAGTAGGGACACCAGAGGGCATGATGGGACTTGTAGTTATACAGACAGTAGGGACACCAGGGGGCATGATGGGACTTGTAGTTGTACAGACAGTAGGGACACCAGTGGGCATGATGGGACTTGTAGTTGTACAGACAGTAGGGACACCAGCGGGGGGCATGATGGAACTTGTAGTTGTACAGACAGTAGAGACACCAGGGGACATGATGAGACTTGTAGGTATAAAGACAGTAGGGACACCAGCGGGGGGCATGATGGGACTTGTAGTTGTACAGACAGTAGGGGACACCAGAGGGCATGATGGGACTTGTAGTTGTACAGACAGTAGGGACACCAGCAGGCATGATGGGACTTGTAGTTATACAGACAGTAGGGACACCAGTGGTTATGATGGGACTTGTAGTTATACAGACAGTAGGGACACCAGAGGGCATGATGGGACTTGTAGTTATACAGACAGGGACACCAGAGGGCATGATGGGACTTGTAGTTGTACAGACAGTAGGGACACCAGCAGGGGGCATGATGGGACTTGTAGTTGTACAGACAGTAGGGACACCAGCAGGCATGATGGGACTTGTAGTTGTACAGACAGCAGGGACACCAGCAGAGGGCATGATGGGACTTGTAGTTGTACAGACAGCAGGGACAGCAACGGACATGATGGGACTTGTAGTTGTACAGACAGTAGGGACACCAGGGGACATGATGAGACTTGTAGTTGTACAGACAGTAGGGACACCAGCAGAGGGCATGATGGGACTTGTAGTTGTACAGATAGTAGGGACAGCAAGGGGCATGATGGGACTTGTAGTTGTACAGACAGTAGAGACTTGTAGTTATACAGACAGTAGGGACAGCAAGGGGCGTGATGGGACTTGTAGTTGTACAGACAGTAGGGACACCAGAGGGCATGATGGGACTTGTAGTTGTACAGACAGCAGGGACACCAGGGGGCATGATGGGACTTGTAGTTGTACAGACAGCAGGGACACCAGGGGGCATGATGGGACTTGTACAGACAGTAGGGACACCAGGGGGCATGATGGGACTTGTAGTTGTACAGACAGTAGGGACACCAGGAATGTCCCAGCCGTGTTCTCCGTCTATTCCGGTGGACGCTCTGTGGTCGGTCGGTCACATGAGGGTCCTGCTCTGGGGATTTGGCCTCCTGCAGGGGAGCTGCTGGCACTCCATCCGAAATCATTAGGATTTCTGACCATTCCCTCCATGACCTGAATTTAACTTCAGTCCCCTCCCCCAACAAATCCTTCGCTCCATCCTCTCCATCGCCCCCGGCAACCAGGAGAGTGTGTTCTGAGCATCCTGATTGGGCGAGGAGAGGGGTCATGTGACTCAGCACCCAGATCTTACCACTAACACCCCAATATGAGAGGACCACACCGAGACCACTGAGACACTGTACATATATGTATTCTGCACTGAAAACGTACCTCCGGGCAGATACAGATTATTGCAGCGCTACATTCATTGAGATGTCGGAGGACCTGAGTGTGACCTGGCATCAGCCTCTTACAGTCCCTGTACAGCAGAGCTCAGACTGGGAGAAGAAGCAGCACACTGATAGGTGGAGAGAGCAGAGTGACGGAGAACAGGCAGCATACTGATAGCGGGAGAGAGCAGAGTGACAGAGAACAGGCAGCATACTGATAGGGGAAGAGAGCAGAGTGACGGGGAAGAAGCTGCACACTGATAGGGGGAGAGAGCAGAGTGATGGAGAAGAGGCAGCATACTGATAGGGGGAGAGAGCAGAGTGATGGAGAAGAGGCAGCATACTGATAGGGGGGAGAGAGCAGAGTGACGGAGAAGAGGCAGCATACTGATAGGGGAAAAGAGAGCAGAGTGACGGAGAAGAAGCTGCACACTGATAGGGGGAGAGAGCAGAGTGACAGAAGAGGCAGCATACTGATAGGGGAGAGAGCAGAGTGACGGAGAGATGAGCTCATCAGTCTGCTGCATCTTTTTACTGCCCAAGCACAGGCTGGGGGAGTTACTGAACTGCAACAGAGAATAATCAGATCTCCCACCCTGAAAGACAGGACTTT